TTCAGGAATATTTTATTCAGTGAATAAATATTTTGAATTAGATTTTTTATTTTTAATATTGGTTGAAACGTCAAATATTTCAGTGTATATTGTTTTTAAAATATATTTGTTTATGAATATTATGTGTTTTATTACTTGTGTGAATCTTGTATCAAAATGCAATATATACATGCCTAATAGCGGTTACTCGTCACATTCTTGGAATATTCCAAATATTCCTAGAATATTCATAAAATATATTTAAAGAATATTCTATGGTGTTTCTCTATTGTATATTCCTACAATAAACTAAGAATATCCTGAATATTTTATGAATATTCCTCGGGTTCTATTCCTGGAATATTCTTAATAGAATATACCTTAGATATTCTAAGAATATTATAAGATATTCCAAGAATATTCCCAAGGAATATTCTTAAAATATATCAAAGGTTCGCCAGGAGCACTTCCAGGGAATATTCTCCAGGAGATATATATATCCATGGCATATTCATAGCATAATACAATATCCTTAAATGTATATTCATGAAATATACCTGGAATATCTATTGCTATGTGGGATTCGTCCTCAACTCTTCGAGAGCATCTAAATGAACTTCTCCATACGGATCTATTATTCTACTCGTCAAATTTTCCGAATCTGGAATTTATGTTTGAAAAACGAACGACACAGAAGAACCGTCAAATGATCAAACAAGTCCTTCTCTTTCGTCGATTTACCACTTGTCATTTATCCACTGTCCGACTTGATGAAAGTAGGGTGTGGAGGGAGCTCTATTCTGCTGATGGTGAATAAGATCAGAGAAAATATCTGTGTCATTCGTCTCAAAGGTTTTTACTATATTTACTAACTTTCGTTATGAGTCTTTTTTTTTGACAGATTTCTATTTTGCGTTTTTGTGACTTCTGAGATGACCTCAATTTCGTTTTCATACATTGATGACCACCAAGTCTTGGGCATTACGTTGGGTTGCCAGGGATTTTGATAATAGATTTTCAAAAACTGATAATTATTCTGATTGACTCAGTGCAAAGAAAGATGAGTTCAGTTGTAAATATTATTTGCGGAATATAGTGTTTTCCAGAAATTGGTATTAGAACTTCAGAAAAATTGATAATATTTGAAACTGAAACAAACACTTCGACTTACTGTTCAGAATAGCAATATTCAGAAGAGATCACCTAATCTAGGACTTCCTGAAAATGATTTTGTTTGTAGATGAGATAAATACTTACCGAAAGTAAAAAAAAAGTACGCATAGATTTTATCTTTGATTTCGACAGCATTTCTATATCTAAGACATTGACCATTTTCGGAGTTGTAGTACAATCCAAATCCAAAAAATGGAAGGTATGTTAGGAAAAGAGCCGAGAACCAAAGACAGCACAAAAATCTCTTGAGTATTCGATATGTGACTAGCTGAAACAAAAAAAAAATGTCAGTTTGATAGCCGACTTTTTTAAAAATTGTACTCCAGAAGGAAACTTTTCGATATATGTTGTAAGTCATGATCACAATTTCCCTCAATTCACTATAATAGGCAGTTCATTATATACTCATAATTTCGGACAGACAGACAGACAGACAGACAGACAGACAGACATTATTATTGATCATAAAATCATCAATTTACATCGGGTTGACAGATCATAAAACTTAAAAATACAATTGGAAAATAAAATTGCAACAGTGCAACAATGCATATAGGACAACATAGAAGTGCAGGTTAGCATTATAATAAATAGTAAATGTTTAAAGTGCATGAATTTTGACAGAATGAAAAGAGTTCATCAGCTCATTTCAGTTCATATTGCAGAGAGAGGAAAATTCCTGAATGTTATGAAATGTATTCGTGATCAAAAACCACTTAAGTCTATGTTTGAATCTGGCCAGGCTTGTTATAGTTTTCGAATCGTTTGGTATAATGTTGAAGTGATGCATACCAGCGTAGTTTGATGATTTTTTATAACTAAAGTATTTCACCTTTTGCAATCTGAATTGATTTTTTTGTCGTGTTTGGTAGCCATGAATGTCGATGTTAAGCTCAAAGTTATTTTTATTCTTGTAAACATATGTTAATAGTTTATATAATTGAATACCTGTGAAATTTAATAATTGCTTTGTTCTGAATACTTCTCGGCAGGACTCATGATAGTCTAGTCTGAACATAGCACGGATTATTCTTTTTTGTGCTAGAAAAACTCTGTTACTGGAAGTTGCTAGCCCATAGAATGAGATGTTGTAACTAATGGTCGAGTAGACGAGGGCATAGTAGACTGCGATTAGCCCTTCTTCGTTCAGGCAGCTTTTCAGGTTATTTATGGCAAAGTATTGTTTATTTAGTTTAGAGCAAATGCTGTTAATGTATTCGTCCCAGCTGAGAGTTTCATCTAGAACTGTGCCTAAAAAATTGCATTTGGAAACTGTATTGTCTAAATATGATATTTTGGGTGATTATGGCATCTACACAGGGTCTGTGGAATCTTAGTAGTGTTGTCTTTCAATGGTTCATCATTAGGCGATTTTTGTGACAGCACTCATCGAATTTGTGAAGGACCTTTTTTGTTTTAAATATCACTTCATCTTCGTTTATGTTAGAGTTCATTAGTAAATCGTTACAATAAATAGAATTGAAATTGTAATATGAACATTTTCGAAGAAATTAGGCTCATCATTGTGAGTGAAAACACACATTTCAAAAATGATCTAGGAGTCGTACGTCGAAAGTAAAAACCCCATTATTCTTCAGCTTGTACAAGTTTCGATTTCTGAGGGTTGTCGTTTCAAGACGACAGCGCTGGTTAACAGAAAAACACATTTCAATATATAAATTTATCATATTCACCAAACTAATAGATTGATCAGGGTAGCGCAAACAGGACATTCTTAATATTTTATCTCTTTCTACATCTTTGCCAAGAGCACCATCACACATAAAAGGTCGAAGAAAACCATATAGATGTTATCGAGTGTGTATTATATAAATAAAAAAAAAGAAATTCGTGGACACAATCTTCCAAAAGAAGGGGGCAAATCGCGGACACGTGTTTCTGGCTATTGGACTCATCAGCGCGGTGCAGCCAGATGCAAAGATGGGCATTCTCAATAATTACGACTTATGTCTTTTTGCCGTCACAATTCTTTCTTCAAACCCTTCGTCAAACCCTAATACTGCATCATAACGATAATTGCCATCAAATGCATCCCGCTGGGCGTAGAAATGACTAATTTGTCCAATCTAGAGTGGTTGTTGATGACAAAAAAAGGCATTTGCCAGCTAGTGTGAAGTTCCGATTATCTACTGAACTTGAATAATACTTTTGAATACTCGTGAAAATAGTTCAAGCTATCGATAAATATCTGAAAAGAAAATTATCATAACATACCAATCACAAATTTTGTTATAGAGCATGCACATTACGTAGATTAGAGACATATGTATCGGAATAATCATTTCCACCTTCCATATATAGTCGTGCATTCATTTCTTTGTGATAAAAATTTTTGTGTTCTATGTTCAATTTTCAATTTCAATAAAAAAATCAGAATAACACAAAGCAATGTGATATTACGGTATTAGAGAGAAAAAAATTTATATTTTGATACCAATTAAAACACGATCATGGTATTTCTTGAGTATATAATCATAATTACTTCCCCATTCACGATGACAATTGGCAAGAACCGCATTTTGGGAAAGGGGAGTTTAATGAACATCGAAAACTAGAAGATAATAATACATTGAAAAGAGTTCAGTATAATAATTATTGGAGATGAAATTATATATTCGAATAACCCCCGTGAGGTAATCTGAAACCTCACGGACAAATGTGTCAGAGGATCTCTCAATAAAATGCAACTACACGAATGTATCCAATTGGAATCAGTTGTTATACTTCATTTTATCGAAAATATTTATTGTTCACTATTGTTCATATTCTGACAGTAGTTTATTAAACAGAAAAGGTATACGAATTTTTTTATTAGTCAACTGAAATAACAACAATAACAACATATGAAACACAAATGTATTTCATTCAAATTAGGTGCTCGAAATGACGACCATCTTATTGCATAAAAAATCGACTCTCTTCATGAAAAACTGCTTAATATTCAATAACATTTGATGCGTCACTCTTTGGAAAGCAGCCCTTATTCTCTCCTTTATATTTTCCAGAGAAAAATCGATGCGAGTCAAATCTGGTGATCTCGCTGGCCAATTTTGTGGTCTTCACCTATCAATCCATTTATTCGAAAAGCACGTATTCAAAAAATCTTAAACACTGAAATTGAAAAGTGCCGGAGCTCAGCTCAGCCGGAGCTAAAAAGTTTAGTCCATTTAAGTTTCTGTGATAATAGTATGGTCCTATAACTTGTGTTCCGTCTTCACCAGTTTTCTTTTATCAGTCATTTCAACTGTCTGTCAATCCTAACCAATAGAAACGATTTGTGAAATTTCGACATTACCGGGCAGGCGGTCCTCGATTGAAGACAAAATGAGAAAAAACCAAGAGAATAGTTGATTAAAATAGCTGCGTAAACGCAAGCGAAACACAAGTGGAACTACCTATTGGTGTGACACCCAAGTCAACTTGCCAAGTTTTTATGACAGTGTTGGTGGTTTGACCAATCAACCGCCAACTGTGGTAGCAGAAATTTGGGAAGCTAACCTGAAATGCCATCGGAAAACTATTTGGGTTAGGTATAGGAACCCCAGAATGAATTGAAAGATAATTGAATTTTATATTAATCAAACAAAAAATACAGACTGTTCTATTTGAGATAGCAAAGTTTACAACTTCGATATGTTATATACAGTGTCACACATAAAGTTCTCGACATATGGAAGTTTTTCTAATTAATAGATATAATGAAATTTTGACTTCGCAGTAAGTTTGTGCTTGAGTAAAAAACAGACTCTTTCCTTTTGCCATGTGCTACTCTGATCCTTTCAAATTTGACATTTTTTTTCGAAAATCCTTAAAAAACAGTTTTTTTTTCAATTTCGAAAAATGACAAAGAAAGTAGCTGTTTTCAATTTCATACCCTGGCTTGAAATTTAGACTATCTACTGTCACTTCGATGTTTTTAAATTTTTTTTGATTTTTCGAATATTTCGCTCTATCAATTCGAACGGAACATGATTCAAATTTCATAATTTTGGTGAATACGAGACTTCAATATCATATATTACCCTGAAAATACCCGCATTGGCCTGTTACAAGAAAAAGAAATGAATACATCTCCAGAAATTTGTCTTTGTTGTAGCAAAGTTCATCTAGTTTTTTCATTTCTTTGTTAAACTGATTCGGATTTTGAATATATAGACGTTCATATGTCAGTAATGGAATGGACGTATTTCTCTTCATTCTTATCACACTCGTATTTCTTTTTCTTCAGCAGATTTTTGTCCCATTAGCTGCAGATGAGTTCGAAATATTTTGATTCAGTTTACACCCGACAGTGTGACTCTTGGACGTGAACTATTAAATATAGTTATCTAACAAATAATAACGCTTCTTGAGTTGATTTCATAATTCTCATATTCTTTAATTTAACCATCAGCTTTATAGATAACATTGAACTAAAAGAACTATAACTAAATCCTCAAGAAAACATCATAACATTCATTGATTTATCTCAATGGTCTTATAAAGAACCCGAATTCATCATTCAGTATGCCGAATCTTTCCGTTCTATACAAATAATAGTTTTTTCGTTTTCAACGACTTTGTGGTATTTTTAATAAATGAGAAATTTATGTTAGCACAGCACTCTCGAATGGTATTCTCTGAATGTTCTTTGTTTGCAAATGGTCTGTGTTTATACACTTTTTGTTACAGATAACCCCATAGAAAAAAGTCCATCGGGGATAAATCCGGTGATCTTGGTGGCCAATAACCTTTCCAATCTCGTACTATCACTTCATCTCTAAACATCTGACTGTGATACTGTTTCACTTCTACCGTTTGATGGATCAGTGGCCCGTCAAGCTGATATCACAAATTCCGTCTAACAGGGGCAGATTATTGAAAACTTCAGACGATTGATTCATAGTGAAATTTCTGTACATGTCCGCGTTCAAATTTTCTCTAAAAAAATATGGTCCAATTATTTGGTTATATAATAACCCACACCTCAAATTTGTCTCGAATGAATATTGGTCACGGTATTCTTTTACAAAATTTGAATTATTGTTGGACCACCAGCGACAATTTTGGAAGCTAACTGTTCCGTTCAACGTGAAAGTTGCCTCGTTTGTCCTTAAAATCCTGTAGGAAAATGCGATATAATTTTCTCTCCCACCTTGAAATAAAACTGAATATGGTACAATTGGTCATTCACTGAAATGTTTGAATTTCTGAGTTTATAAATTTCCATTACTCCAAGTTTCGAATCTTTATTTTCTATGTGTAAAA